TGAATGCATTACATTTATTGAAAGAGACAGCAAAGACATTTATAATGTTTATACTTTCTATTCATTAACGAATCCTGAAAATAATGTTTTATGGTTTCCACAAAAATATGAACATTTCAACATTGAAAATAAGAAATCTTCCTTGAGCACCAAATTAGCATATTCAAATGATTTCTGAAGGATCATGTAACATTGAAGACTGGAGTAATGGCTGCTGAAAATTCACATGAATAAATGACATTTTAAAATATATTCAAAAAGAAAACATTTTAATTTGTAATAACATTTCACAATATTACTGTTTTTACTGTATTTTTGGTCAAATAAACGCAGCCTTGGAGAGCATAAAAGACTTTAACATTAAAACATCTTACTGACCCCAAACCATGGAACGGTATCATTAACCAACAATATACAATAATTTTACACCATTTATTAATCAGTTTATATTATTTTTACATATTCTTCTCAGCACTTCAAATTCAAAGTTATATGAATAACATTGAGTAAATGTATCATGACAAACATGAATTAACATTAATCAATGGTATATTTATAAATTGACAATCGACTAAATCAATAAATGTTGTGAAACAAATTGTTGCTCTATATTAACAAATCAAACCTAAAAAAAATGACCACTGAAATAGTTCTCACCATGAAGTGTCTCTGCTGGAACAGATGGTCTTTTGTCATTTACAATGATTGCATTGGTCCTTGTTTGTAGTGAAGAGGATATGACAACGCTGAACACATAAATGCTGGGAAAATAAACTTTATTAGACCACTGCATCCAATTAATCTGTTAAAGTGCAGAATTTGGAGGCTGTATAAAAGAGCAGCCCTCAAAAGAGTGAGAGATAAATTTTGTTTTTATTAAATAGTTTATAGGCTAGAACTGCCACTGGAAAAGCAAGCAAAAACAGCAACAGAACAATTTTAGAGGCCATTTCTACACAGAGTCTAAAAGAATCACCTGGTCTGATTCACACTCATACTCTGCGAGTGCATGATCTGCAAGCACATGATCTATGATGTATCAGGAATACATTGTAGTTCCATTGTTAATGCTTAACAGCACTGAGTGGCTATTATTTCAGAAAACATGAATATGTAGATGTAAATGGCTCATGATTCGATTCCACAAAAGATTGAACACTGAAATTAATGTCACCGCTTGATTTCCAACACATAGCTCATTCATATAAAGTGTATTGCTCATTGAAAAGGCACTTAAGCCTGGTAAACAATAATAAATAATGGCAATTAAATAGCATTAAGTCTGACTGCTCATTTACAAGACTGGCTTACGATATCATATGGTTAAGAAAAAAAAGTGCAGTGCGGGAAATAATAATAATATCAGCCAACCCAACCATGAAGGGCTGTCAGAGCAGCTGACACTGGCTACATTTTTACACTACACAGCATTATTTCAAATATTATTGTGTGAGAGCATGTGAGTGACTGAATGAAGATGGCTGATAATGATATCAGGCTATCTGACAAAGGCATTACACAAGCTTAATCATGTGAAACACCCCTAGCAGAACCATAAAAAATATTGAGAATGAGGCACTTTGTTCAATATTTGTCAAGATTTAACAGTCAGATCCTGTCTCTACAATTAGTACTTGCAATCTGTCTGATTAGCCTGATGATGAGCATGTGAAGTGTCTGATTAATACAGTATGTGTTAACCGCAGGATGTGATTTGAATGTTAATAGGATATTCACCTAAAAAATCATTTGCTCATCCTCATGTCGTTCTGTTTTTCTTCTATGGAACACAGGAGGAGGAAAAATATATTTTTGTCCATATAATGAAAGTCAATGGGGTCCAAAATTATGGAAGCATGTTTCCACCGCAGGATACAAAAATAAAAAAGGTAATTGTGCCTTTTTTCCCCCTTCGCAACTAAGGTTATATCTCACTATTTAAACTTTTCTCACAATTCTGGCTTTTCCCCCCCTCAGATTTGCAAGAAAACTGCAATTTGTGAGATATAAACTCACAACTGTGAGAGAAAAAGTTGAGATTGAAAAACTGTAAGATAAAAAGTTGCAATTACCTTTTTTATTCCATGGTGCAGAAAAAAACCCAAACAAAATTGGGAGGCATAAACACAGAATTACAAGAATAAAGTCAGAATTCTGAGTTTATATCTCACAACTACGATGTTTTCAGAACTGTAAGAAAAAAATCTTAATTTTGAGAGTCGCAATTACCTTTATTTTTTATTTCATGGCAGAAACAAGCTTTTATACAAAACAACCTCAAATCCCAAAAGGTTTTTTTTTAATGGTATGAAAAAAAAAAGTAATTGTTCTACATTTTTTTTGTGTTTCACAGAAGAAATTCATACAGGTTTGGAATGACATGAGAGTGACGAAACACAAATTATCATTTTTGGATGACCCAAAAATGAAAATTCTGTCATTATTTACTCCGCCTCAAACCTGTATGACTTTATTTCTTCTGAGGAACGTAACGGAAAATATTCTCCATAATGTTGGTAACCAAACAGTTTTGATTCCCACTGACTTCCATTGTAATTTTTGTCCTTACAATGCAGGTCAATATGAACCAAAATTGTCAACATTGGGATTCTTCAAAACATCATCTTTTGTGTTCCACTGAAGAAATTCAGACAGTTTTGGAATGACATTAGGATGAGTAAACGATAACAGAATTTTCAGTTTTGGTAAAGTATCCCTTTAAATGTGCTCCAAGATCCTTTGGGTGGACACTTATTTTAAAAGGCATGCTCAAGCGTCACGGCAACAGAACCTTCCTGAGATGTGGAACCAATCAGAAGAGGCTGTTTAAAGGACACTGCCTTCATCATACAAGCCCCGCCCTCAGAAAGGCAGCCGTAAACCCAGGCGTCGAGCGTCAGTGTGGGGTCTGGGGATGCAGGGGCCGCTGGGATGGAGGAGACGATCGAGATAGGTTCAGAGAGATCACTGATGCTCCCCGTTACAGCTCGCCCTTCCAGTAACCACTCATTACCTGCCGAGAAAAACAAAATGGCTTAATGTGCGGTTGATGGACGATTCCTGTAACGTTTGATATTTCTGGCTGATTTTTGTTTGGAAGGCATTGGTTCCTGAAGCACCATGTGTCTGGGTGTAAAACAACATGTATACATCTGCCAACACAATGATATACCACGACTTCGGGAAAGTCGTGGTTTCGGGGAAGTCGTGGCCTAATGGTTAGAGAGTCGGACTCATAACCCAAAGGAAGTGGGTTCGAGACTTGTACCGGCAGGGATTGTAGGTGGGGGAAGTGAATGTACAGTCCCACCTTCAATACCACAACTGAGGTGCCCTTGAGCAAGGCACCGAACCCCCAACTGCTCCCCGGGCGCCGCAGCATAAATGGCTGCCCACTGCTCCGGGTGTGTGTTCACGGTGTGTGTGTGCACTTTGGATGGGTAAATGCAGAGCACTAATTCCGAGTATGGGGTCACCATACTTGGCCACATGTCACGTCACTTTCACTTTCATATATTTCTCTGGCAGTTGATGGGGACTTTCAATATGCATACAAACACAATTTCAGTAGGGAATCATGTGCGTTAGCGGTGAAAGGAAACGCCTTTTGTTAATGGTTCTGCAATGCAGTGTGTACCAGGTGTGTCACTGGCCTTGAATCAAGGGCAGGCTACTAAGACAAGTGCCAGATAGAATTAGGACAGTGTCCAATCAAATGATCCCCAGTGAGACCGAACCAGAGAGGACGTGTGCAAAGACCTACAGGGCTGACCTACGTAAAACATAAGCACAGAGTACAAAACAAACTTTTAGAAATGTTTTTTTATGACGGCATGTTTACATATTTTTCACATTATATCTGTTGAGTTATCTTTTGAAAGCTAAAAAAAATTCTGTATCAAATGTTATTTTTAAAAGTACAATCAAACTGTCTTTCAATAAAATAAATGACACCATGTTTGATATTTAGTTATCTAATCATATAACATTAGTTTGTTGTTGATTAAGTGTGCAAATACTTACTAGGGCAATTGTACTACAGTTTAATACATTTATCCAGAAAATTTTAATAAATATATCATACAAAAAAAAAAGAATTATGCAAATAAATTCTAAATACCTAAAGGCCGTTCTCGTTAAATAAAATCTGTTTATGCAACTACATAAGCCTACCATTTTAATAATATAAAATCAAATACATTATATTTAAATTACATAAAAATGATTACAATAATAATACAGCACTATTCCAAGAATGTAAAATAAGAGTTTTCTATTTTACTATATTTTAGAATATATAATTAATTCAAAAGACATTCATCATGATCCTTCAGAATTCATTCTAATATGATGATTTGGTGATCAAGTAGCATTTCATATTATTATCATCAGTGTTTGAAATGTTGTGCTGCTTAATATTTGTGTGGAAACTGTAAGACATTTATCTGAAATACAAATCTTTTGTAACAATCTCTTTTGATCAATTTAATGCATTCTTGCTGAACAAGTTAAATTTTTTCTAAAACAAAACAAAAACTTACTGACCACAAACTTCTGAATGGTAGTGAATATAAAATCATAAAAATTGAAGTCACATATTTTTTTTGTCACTTTTGATGGCACTTTCCCCAAGTCTCCATTCATTTCTGACCCTGCTTGCTGATATAACCATTTACATAATGATAATTTTCCAGGGGGTCAAAATACAGGAATTTAAATCGCACACTTGTATTTACATATAACACACAAAACATTTACACTAGTAACTACTACACACGCGAAGCCACCCACAAACAAGCACTCGCGGTAATTTGGTGAATAATTACAGTCAGTCAATCAAAGTCAGACAGAACTAGTAGCTGCCGTTTCTGAGAATTTAACGCCCACAGCCGTTCAGGCTTTTCTGGTCCTAATGGGTGTCTTTGTTCTAATTATGCAGAGTAGCCCCCCGGGACTTTTTGTCACTTCAACTACGACCACTTTCATAAACTAATTAGGTGCTTGTTTATTGCATGGTAAAATGTTCTGGTGCGGAGCGTAGACAAACAATCAGTGTGATGAGCAGAAGTCGTCTCTGGTGACTGGGCTGATTATCAATCATGGAAGACGTGCTTTCGGGCGGGATTGAAGTTTTTGTGCAGAAGAACTGAGAGAAGAGACAACAGGAAAGACAAATGTTGCAGCAGACGGACGGAGGGTGAGGCAAAAATTATTATGCTAAAAAAAGAGAGCGAGATAGGAAGGGTAAGATAGAATGAAGGGTTGACCGTGTGTTGGGATGCATAGAGGAATTGTTTATTTATCCTTGGATCATCTCCCAGTATGGCCAGCTGGTCCCTAAAGCCTGCTGAAAATGTGTGAACATGGCAATCCAGCTAACAGAAAACTATAGTTCACCCCACGGAGGAGCCCCAGAGGAATAGTGTACAAGATGCGAAAAACTGCATGTAAATAAACACGTTTTACATAATTGGCATTGAGAGCTAGTGAAGATGCTCTTATTGGATACATTTGATTTTGTACCTTCTGCAGATAAGCTCCAGAAACTAGGGGCTTCTTCAGTCAGCTTGGTCCCAGTCGGTAGTGCCAATTTCAGAAAAAGAGTGACTGACTGCCCTGAAGAAACTGTGATTGATGGCATTGTAAGGACTGGAGCTGATTTTGGAAGTTTGGGAAGCTTTCTGACCGCAGGTGTGCTGCTAGTGGCAGTTGTGAGGACAGAATCAACTTCTTGCTGAACAACAATGGGAAACTGGTGCAAAAAGAGAGAGAAAACAATAAGCCAATCATTAAGAATGACAATTGACAAATGACAACCCACATGCGGGGACTCACCAAAGAGACCGTTTTGGTCTGCAGGTCCAGGACTTTGATGCAATGGTTGTTGGTGTCCGCCACATACAGCAGCTTTCCTCTTTCACCCAGACACAGGCCTCCGGGTTCATTGAAGCTGGACTCCAGAAAGCTTGGGCCAAGTCCATTCCCAGCTTTCCCTGTGCCTGCAAGCATCCTGCACTGCTTAGTCTTCGGATCCACCACTTTGATCTGCAACGGAGAAGAAGCTCCTTCATGACCATGGAGTCATTGACCATTGGTAGTGCTTGCCCATTCAAAAACTCGCACCACTTTTTGTGGTTAAAGGAATAGTTCACCCAAAAATGAAAATGTATTCACCCTCAGGTCATCCAAGATGTAGAGCTTGTTCATTCATTGGAACAGATTTGGAGAAATTTAGGATTACATCACTTCCTCACCAATGGATCCTCTGCAGTGAATGGGTGCCGTCAGAATGAGAGTTCAAACAACTGATTAAAAACATCACAATAATCCACAAGTGATCCACACGCCTCCAGTCCATCAGTTAACGTTTTGTAAAGTAATACTTATCGCTTCTGGCCAAAATATGAGTCCATATTCCATAATAATGCTTCCTCCAGTGAAAAAGTTCATCCCCTGTTGTTCTCACACCTTAAAATCCACCTACATATTTTTGGTGCTTTATCTGTGCATATTTCTGTCATGATTCAGACGAGACAACTTTTCTACTGGAGAAAGCAGTACAGGTGCATCTCAATAAATTAGAATGTCATGGAAAAGTTCATTTATTTCAGTAATTCAACTCAAATTGTGAAACTTAATTAATTATTGTATTAAATAAATTCAATGCACACAGACTGAAGTAGTTCAAGTCTTCTTGACAATACCTCATAGATTCTCTATGGGGTTCAGGTCTGGTGAGTTTGCTGGCCAGTCAAGCACACCAACACCATGGTCATTTAACGAACTTTTGGTGCTTTTGGCAGTGTGGGCAGGTGCCAAATCCTGCTGGAAAATGAAATCAGCATCTTCAAAAAGCTGGTCAGCAGAAGGAAGCATGAAGTGCTCCAAAGTTTCTTGGTAAACGGGTGCAGTGACGTTGGTTTTCAAAAAACACAATGGACCAACACCAGCAGATGACATTGCACCCCAAATCATCACAGACTGTGGAAACTTAACACTGGACTTAAAACTTAACACTGGGCTATGAGCTTCTCCACCCTTCCTCCAGACTCTAGGACCTTGGTTTCCAAATGAAATACAAAACTTGCTCTCATCTGAAAAGAGGACTTTGGACCACTGGGCAACAGTCCAGTTCTTCTTCTCCTTAGCCCAGGTAAGACGCCTCTGACGTTGTCTGTGGTTCAGGAGTGGCTTAACAAGAGGAATACAACAACTGTAGAATATATAAATTATTCCAAACCATTTTAAAAAAAAAAAAAAAAAAAAAAAAAAAAAAAAAAAAAAAAAAAAACTCAACTACATCTTTGATGGCCTGAGGTAGAAGAAAATTTAGTAAATAAGTGAGAATTTGAAAAAGATTCTCAAAAAAAAAACTAATAATGCAAATGAAAAATATTAAATAATAATAATAATAATAATAATAATAATAAAATATGGTTAATGCTCACAAAAATACGTTTGTCAAATGTTTTCTTTATAGAGTGCATTACGCTTTCTTTCTTTAAAAAAAAATGACCCTTAGTCTGATTTTATCCAATCCGTTTTTAAATGCGGCTTCAGTGTCAAAATATATACTGGGGCTACAATTGGATTAATTTTTGCAAATAAATCATGAATTCTAATAAGTCCTGAAGGCTGTAAGAAATCAGCATTTCTTATTATGCAACTATATAACTAGACCTAGATTTTTATATATATATACACACACACACACACACACACACACATGCACGCACATATACACA